TTCTCGATACTCAGCACGCGGAGGGTCGTGTCTGTGTACTCGTCGGCCGTGGCGAACTGGGACACCCTGGGTGGAGGAGGGAAGGTGTATTCTAAAGATTGGGATTATACTGGAAGATATGACACTTGGATTTATAGACGGAAATAAAAGTTGGAATTCTGAAAGTAGAAGGGAGAAATGGAATTTGGAATTGGAAATCTCTCTATATGACTTTTAATTAAAGGAAAAATAAATAAAACTAAACAAAAATGTAGGAGTCAAACTAAATAAAAGTTTGAACTATATATAAAAAAACAATTAAGACTATTAAAAAAAAAATAGAAAATAAAATGAAACAAACAAATTTAGGAAAGAACACAGCACAGAATACAAAAGTTCAACACATGACTCAAGAACCACCTTCTCACCTGTAATGCTGGTTATTGACGATGGCCTCCTGCTTGTGGATCCAGGTGATGGCCGCGGGGGGGTAGGCCTCAACGTGGCACTCGAGGTCCATGTCGTATTGGAGAGCCTAAAGGGGGGAGGTAGATATAAGGTATAAGGGTATAGATATAAGATATGAATGGGTGAGGGGAGGTAATGGTTAATAATGGTATGATAACAAAGATATAAGTAAGGTCTGTTAACTGTGAAATAAAATATGGGGGGATAATAATAAATATATATAAGGAACGATTGAAATAACACAAGGGTTGATATACATCACATACAATACGTCGATATTAGTAAACATAGAAAATAACCGAAATACATAATGACACACAAAAAGGGAATAACCAAATTAATGATAAAACAAGTAAAAAAAAATAAAACAAAGTCCTGATATAAATAGCAAATGACGAAACGGACTTCACAAACAGAAAAAAAACATCCGGTTGCCCCAGATCACGTGACAGAATCCGGGACAGACCACAGATACGTAAACATCCACTCCTCCGCCGTAAAACAATGGAGGTTTTAAGATGCGCTGCAATTAGGTACGAATATGTTCTAAATCATGATGCATGCTGGTGGACTATTGGGTAAATTATTCAGAGATGGGACGAATTAAAGAAATAAAGACGTTGATGGAATGATAACGATATTGGTTCAGTGCTTAGTGGGGGGCGCATTCTTAAACTGACTTTGTATTTTAATGTAGAGAGGAGGGCTAAGCTCTTGGAGAGAACACTGAGCGGTTGAGAGAGAGAGAAAGGAGGAGAGGGAAGGGAGAAGAAGGGACAGAAAAAATAATGAAATTAAAGGGAGAAGGAGGAAGAAAGAGAGGGAAACGGTGAGATTAAGAAAATAAAGCGAGAAAAAGGAATAGAGAGATAGAAACATGAAAATACGGAAAAGAGAAAAGACGAATAAGAGAAAAAAAGGACAAAAAGAAATACAAGAAAAAATACAATGAAATACAACAAAGAAGAAGAAAAAGAAAGAAAGAAATAGAAGTACAGACATAAAAAGAAAAAAGAAATTAGAGAAAAACGAAAAGAAACCAAGATCCCCTAGCCCATCTATGACCCACTCCCCACAATCAAACCACCACCCATGACCCACCCACAACCCCCCCCCCCCCAACCTCCCCAACCCACCCACAATCCCCCTCAACCCACCTGATAGACCCTGGGGCGCGTGGCCTTGACGACGGGCGCGAACTCGACCTCCACGTTGATGTTCCTGCGGGCGCCGCGTCCCACCTGGTTCTCGGCGATGCAGTAGTAAGTACCTCGGTCCTCCTTCCGGATGTTGGCGATCTGGAGCACGTTGCCTCTGCGGGGGGAGGAGGGCGTGAGGGGGGGGGCGTTGCGGCCAGGGCGTGGGGGGGTGGAAATGTAGGATCTTTGTGGTGTTTTTTGTGTTTATTATTCTATTGTTGTTATTATCTTTTTTTTTTTATATTGTTGAATTTTTGCATGTCGGCTTCTTTGTCTCTATCTCCTTTTTGCTTTCCCTTTTCTTCCCCTTATTTTTCTTTTCTTTCTCCTTTTCTCCTCTCTCTCTCTCTCTCTCTCTCTCTCTCTCTCTCTCTCTCTCTCTCTCTCTCTCTCTCTCTCTCTCTCTCTCTCTCTCTCTCTCTCTCTCTCTCTCTCTCTCTCTCTCTCTCTCCCTTCTATCTCTCTCTCTCCTTTCTCTCGTTCTCTCTCTCTCTCTCTCTCTCTCTCTCTCTCTCTCTCTCTCTCTCTCTCTCTCTCCTTCTATCTCTCTCTCCTTCTCTCGTCTCTCTCTCTCTTCTCTTCTCTCTCTCTCTCTCTCTCTCTCTCTCTCTCTCTCTCTCTCTCTCTCTCTCTCTCTCCTCTTTCTCTCCTCTCTCTCTCTCTCCCTCCCTCTCTCCCTCCCTCCTTCCCTCCTCCTCCCTCCCTCCCTCCCTTCTCCCCCCTCCCTCGCCCTCCTTCACCCCTCCCTCTCTTACCTGTAGATGGACCCCCCAGTGGGCAGGATAGCATTGTTTTCCCTCCTCCAGGAGATGTCAGGGATGGGCATTCCTCCGGCGTAGCAGGACAGTTCGACG